CTCTTGACAATCAACACATATACTGGACTGCTTTTCCTCCCATTAGTTTGCATAGCTTTTCTCTTCTCAGTGTTAAACATAAAATAGAACTTTTGTTTCAGCTCATCAGCTTACCAAGGTTTTCCCACATCCTGATATGTTGATTCTGTTTCTCATTTAAATATTTTTCAGTGTTCCCTTTCTATAATTCTATAAAAGGTATTTCAGATCTTTGAACATTGCTATTATGTTCTTTTACCTTGAACCAATTAAAAAGTAGTGTAGAAACTGAGTTTTGCTTAATTAGTATTTGAGACTTAGCATTTTTCACTTAGGATTTCTTTTAGTTTCTCCCATTGTTTTCAGTAATAGAAATAGTCCCCTTCTTTCATTGTTAGCTTTCTGATTTTTGCACCAATACTTCTGTTTTCGTGTCACTATTAACCAAGTCCTCATACTGCAGTCCCAGTTTGTGTATTGTTTAGTTTTCTATAGGCTTCTGAATCTTTAATTCACTTCCTATTTCTTTGTTGCATAAGTTTCTGTTCCCTGTCCTAGGAGACCCAAAGACTGCTGTCAGGTTATTGTAATGCCAGAAACACCTTTTTCTTTAGCTTCTCCTTTAACATTCTCCTGCTTTCTTCCTTTCATAATTTCTTTTCCCTACTATACCTTGTCAATCAGTGCCTATGAAAAGAATTGAGTGCTAACCACAAATATGACTGAAAAGCAGGACTCATAAGAAAATACCCTTGCAGGTTTCTTCTGAAAATATGTAGTGTTGTTCTCCTCCTTTTGATGTTTTTTTCTTTTGTTCCCTACATTTTTCTCCATAGTGTCTCCTTTTCTGATACAGTTCTGTTTACCCACTGTCCTGTCAGGTCTTCTCCCTTTCTACTCCCAAACTGCAATGAATGTATTTATTGTGTTCTTACCCTCTTGTTCCCTTTTGCTGACTGAGAAATAGACAATAAACTTCAAAAGATTATTAATAAATTTCAGTTATCTCAAAGTTCAATCTCTGTGATAATGATACAGTTCCATTTTTGTTAATTTCTTGTGTTTGTTTTGGATCTAATTTCTTTAGGTCTCATTTTTGTGACTTAAATTTCAGTGTATTTACTCAACAAGATTGATTTACTCACTCTGGTGCTTTAAGAGCATATTTTACACTGCTAGTTGTATGTGCCAAATGTAAACGACCAAGTGAACTTCCCACTTTCCATTGAGATATGCATGGTCTCAAAGCAGCTGCTTTTGAAATGCTATCAAAAGCTTTGAAATGCTAAAATCTTACATCAAAGTAAGAGGTATAATAGAGACATACTAAGTAATTTGCTACTATATGAAAGAAATAAGACTTCAGTTCAACAGTTGGTAGCTTGTCCTTTTTGGTAACCTATAGTGATTATTAAAGAGTGACTTGAAAGCTTCAAAAAATTATATGGAGCAAAGACAAAATTTTACTCTGTACAGTCTTAACATCTGTACTTAGCCTTTTATTTAAATATCTTGTACAGTCTGTGGCTTTTGCTACTTGTTGTATTTCAGTGCTATGATGTGTTGCATGATTAATTTCTGAATACTTGAAAATTTTCACTTGAAAGGTTGCCAGTGTACTTTGAGTATATTCTTGGCTTTCTCTCTCTCCTTTTTTTTTTATTTTTTTTATTTTTTACTTTTCAATACTGAGCTTAGTCTTTTTTTGAAGACTTTTTTTTTATTGTTGTGCTGGATGGGGGTACTTTGTGTCATTTACAGAAGTTCCCGCAATATAGCAAATATATCATAGTTGAATTTACCCTCTTCACCATTCTCCTCCCATTCCTGGAATAGTTTCAACAGGTATCATTTTTCCACGTACATACATGTGTACACAGTATTTGCAGTATATTTACCCTCTCATACCCTTTTCCCACCTTCTCTCCCTTCCCACGGTACTAACCCTCCCCTAGCAGGACCTCTTCCACCCCGCTGTAGAGTTTCTGAATGGGTTTTTAAACATTATTTTGTCAAAAAGACTATCTTGGTATGAGTTCTGTGGTTCATGGGACTCAGGGGTAATTAGCAATATTGATACTATAGTTCAACTGGGTCTTTTTTTTTTTTCCTTCTATATAGACCATTGTAAGTATAGGACACAAATCTCTGCTTTAATGGAGGTTATACTCTAAAATAAATGAACTTATATGTATTACATATGTTGAAGGAAAAGACAAATGCTAGAACAATCAGGCAAGAAAGGTAGGAAAGGGAGACTGAAATTTTAAGTTAGCATGACTAGTGCTGTTTGGCAAAAGGGTGCCATATAAGCTCTGAGGAAGGAACATTGGAGACAAGTGGACAAGGGCCTTGAGCCAGCGTGTCTGGTGTGTTTGAGGAGTTGTGAGGAGAGGGCCAGAGTATTTCAAGCAGGAAAAGGCTAATGATAGAGAGGAGTGAGATGAGGCATGCAGTTCATGCAAGACTTGGTAGAGTTCTGAGAGGAATGAGGTCATTGGAGGCTTTTCAGCAGGGGAATTGTGCTTTCACATTTTCACTCTGGCTGTTCAAAACAGCAGGAGGCAAGGGCAGAAATAAAAAAATCAGTTTGGTTGGTTAAAAGCTGTTTAGAAGGGAGGAGGGAAGATAAATAGTAATAGATTAAAGTACTTTATGTGCATGTAAAGTAGAGACTTCACAATGAAGCCCCTTTGTATAATTAATATATGTCAATTAAAAAGAATCAGTTTGGAAGAATTGGCCCAGGGAGTTGGCTGTAGTTCTGGAGTAAAGTGGTTGAGTCCTGTTGTATGTATTTGAGGGTAGAGTTAACAGGATTTCCTGTCACAGTACTTGTGTGGCACATGAGAAGAAGGGGAGAATTAAGGCCCCCTAAATTCGAAGCCTGAGCAACTGCAAGGATGAACTTGCCATTAACAGAGGATAGGAAGGAGCAAGATTTTAAGGAAATAACAGAAGCTCAACTTTGGATATGTTTTTGGGATGAGACATTCAACAGGAAATGTGGAGTGGGTAAGTGGACTCCTTTCATCAGTCTGGGATTCAGAAATGATGTCTGTGCTGGAGAGCAAATGGATACAAGTAAAATCCAAAGCAGTAAGGCTGGAGGAGCTCACCTAAGGAATAGGGCTTCTTAGACCGCTTATAAAGAAAAGCCATAGGGCTAGAGGTGTGGCTCAGGTGTGGAATGCTTGCCTCATAAGCACAAAGCCTTGAGTTCAAACCCCAGTATTGCAAAAAACAAACAAATACCCTAAGAACTGAGCCCTAAGGCACTCTGATAGCTAGACTTCAGGGAGCAGGAGGAGAAGCCCACCAGGGGTCCAGGAGGAGAGGGGTGAATAGCCATGTTAGGGTGCTGCTGAGAGGCAAAGTGCGAGGAGAACTGACACTGGCAGTGTGATGGTGGCTGAGTGTCTTTGGTAGTCTTCAATTGTAGTTTCAGTGGTAGTGGTGCTGATAACCTGATGGAGGTGGATTCAGGGGAGACTAGAGACAGTAAGTAAATGCAACTCCCTAAGGAGTTACGCTCCAGAAATTCTCTTTCCTTTATCAAAAACTTTTCTCACTGTTGGATCTACTACCAGTATATAAGCTTGTAATATTCCTTCCATAAGGAAAGAAGGGAGGGAGGGAGGGACGGAGACGTTAGGGTTGTAGCTGTAAGGGGAGGAGTTGGGATGTGTTTTTATTTATTTATTTTTCTTTTAATAGAAGGAATAATAACATGCTTGTATTGTTATAGCAACGATTTAACACTGTGGTCAGGCATAATGGGCACACTTGGGAAGTGAAGGCAGGAGGACCACAAGTATAGTGAGACCTTGTCGTTAAAAAAATAAATAAAACAGCAACAAAAGATGTAACACTGGAAAAATTGTCATATGGGAAGGGAAAGTGTTTCTGGAGCAATGATCTTAAATAGGTAAGAAAGGGGAATATTTGACTTACACTGGAAGATGTCCAGTTCATCTATAGTAACCAAGAGAAGGATAGAGTCCGGATACAGGTACAGGGTGGTGGGGATTGTAGAAGTTCTAATTCTGTTTTCTCTGAAGTAGGGAATACAGTTGTCAGTTGAGAGCAAGGCTAGAGAACGGGGTATATTAGAGGTACGAAAAGAGAAGACTAACAGAAACTAACCTTGTAGAAGCTTAGGGAGAAGTTGGTATCTAGTGTGGGTATTGAAATCAGCATGGCTTGTGAGTTCTGGCAAGAGTGACAGGGAAGCAGAAGTGAAGATCTTTGTGAAATGAGAGGTTGGGAGCTGTGAAGCAGTGACTGTCTGCTGCTCGTGGGAAGCAGAAACTCGTGATCCTTAAAGCTAAGGTTTATGGTGGGAGAATGGAGGACACAGGGCACTTCCTTCTTCCCCCTAGGTTCCCTGCAGGTACTATTTGGGAAAGCTATGGGAGATGGCAGTGTGGTGTGGAAAACTCAGGCTAAAGCAAGGTTAGAGGGTTGAGCATACAGATTTTGTTGGTGACTGACTTTGGGGCACACTAAAAGGGCTTTAGGAAATCAGGAGATGGATTCAGAAAAAGATTAATTGTAATTAAAGAAATACAGTCATTTAAGCAGTTTGGACATACAGCCCAAGAGAGTGCTAATGCATTATCCTAAGTAAAAGAGAAGGAACAAACACTCAACACTAAAAAATGGCTCTACAAATACGGAGAAGCAGGTATTCTTTATCTCCCCTGAGGCAGACCAAAGGAAAGGCTGTGTCATCAGGACACAGATATAGGAGACTTTCCCTTTCTCTGACACTCCAAGAATAAGGTTGTTTTCTCTTCATGCTTGAAACCTAATGGTATAAATTGAACTACTTATTTAGATTATGTATTTTCAATGACTGTCATATGAGTGTCTTAACATATGTGTCATTAAGTTCAACCTCTGCAAATTAAATGCAGCTTAAATTGGTCAGGAAAAAAAATCATCATTAGTTATAAATGCATGGGTTATTCTGACATTTGTTACCATTGAAAATTTTTACTATATCCTATATTTAACAGGTTGCAGTGTTTTACAGAGCTAGTCCAAGGCACAAGATGAAAATTATTAAGGTGGGTGTTTTAAAAATCAGATTGCTTTATTTCTCTATACAAAACACTGCCAATTTGTCTTCTGTTTGCATTAGAAGCAGTATTATTAGGGGCATCAAAGTCTGAAGTATTGTGAAGCAAAACAGGCTTTTTTTTTTTTTTTAAAAAGATCTTGACATAGAAACACTAATTGAGAATTTAGTTGGCATAGGAAGACAACTTCATGCAATACTTGCGAATACAGCACAGACTTTTTTGAACCGTTCGAGTATAGAAGTATGTTCTCACAGGGGTCCGTCGCCAAATCATCCCTGTGTGATAATGAGTTAGAAACTGAGTATGTACAACAAAAGCTTTACAAGAATGTGAATAAGGTTTATAAGGCTGTGGTTCTTTAATTAAATATAGTCATGCATTGCTTAACCACTGATATATTCCAGAAATGTATTGTTAGGTGACTTTTTTCATTGTGTGGAATGTGACTACAAGCAGGTAAGTACTATGTTGTACAGTGGTATTGGACTTGGATGTCAGTAGGCATTAGAAAATTTTCAGCTCCATCCATTGTTGACTGAAACATTGTTAGGTAGTATATGACTGTGTATATTAAGCAACCAACATAGTATCCAGTAGTTAATGAATTTAAGTTATTTATTGAAATAGCTAGGTATTGATTGTGTAGTTTGGAGTTTCTCAGTCTTGGCATTTTTGACATTTTAAATTTTTGTTAATGAGGGGCTGTCCTGTGCATTATAGAATGTTGAACAGCATCTTTGACCTCTACTCAGAAGATATGGCAAACCCTAAGTCAAGACAATCAGAAATGTTTCCAAACATTGTTAGCTTTCCCCTGGGACACAAAAATTGCCCCCAGTTTAGAGTCATTGTATAGTTCACTATTACCAGTCTTCAGACGTACAGTTCCTCATGGATGAGAATATTAGCAGCAATGTTTTCTAAGTCTTTTCTTCTAAGTTTTTTTTAAAATGGGTGGTCTATATTATTTTAGACTTAATTATGTGTAAAAAAATGGCAGGTGTTTGTTTATCCCATCATCTGTATGGAAGCAATATTTTTATCTGAATTCCTTCTCTCTTTGCTTCACTTCAGTCACTACAGAAGAATGGGTCAGTGGTAGCCATGACAGGAGATGGAGTCAATGATGCAGTTGCTCTGAAGGCTGCAGACATTGGGATTGCAATGGGCCAGACTGGCACAGATGTTTGCAAAGAGGCAGCAGACATGATCCTGGTGGATGATGATTTCCAAACCATAATGTAAGTTTTGTTTCAGTGAATGCATATCAGATAATCTTCCCCTATTCTTTCCTACCTATACCCCTCAGATAATTCAGCTGCAGAAGAATTAGCAGTAAACATTGGGCAAACTAAACTGTGTTTCTAGATTAGTTTTGTTTTATGGCCTTGTGTGAAGTTGTAAAGAAAATTATTTGTAAGGATGGAACAGACATATAAATGGCAGGCTGTTAATTTACTGAGTGCCAGCCAGTTGTCACATTTTTCTAGACACGGTGTGATGGTATAGCAGTGATCTTTCATTGGAGGCCTTTATTCTAATTAAATTCAGATTATCAGAAATGTACATCTGCATGACCTTACAGTAAGTATTAAAAATTATCAACCTCACATCCATGCCCATTTCTTTATATCAGTAATTGTTCATGTTGCCCTCATTTCATGATATAATTTATTCAGTTTAAATAGCTTTGTTTGTTTCATCTATAGTTTCTACCTGATACAAAACTAGTGTAATACTTGGTAGTGTCAGCTTTACAGTGTTTAGGTAGAGGACATACGAATCTTGATTTTCTGATAATCACCTACTGGATGACCTGAGCTTTACTCATTTCAGTGATAAATTCTAATTACATGTCTCAGGATATTTTATTACCCAGTTGTGGCTTAAAGTGATGCATTTGGGATCTTAGGACTGCTGGTGGTAGAGTGTCTGTCTATCAAGTAGGAAGTCCTGAGTTCAAACCCCACTTCCTCCTAAAACAAACAAACAAAAAAAAAAGTGGGACTCTCAGGACTAGAGCATTTGCCAAACTCTTTTACAAGGATATAAGTTTGTTTTTTTCCTTACTCTTCATTCTTAAAATTATATAAAAATCTTATAAGAAAGGAGAAAGTTTGTAAAAAAACATAGTTTCTTAGATTCAGCCATGTGAATGAGGAATTTATATGAATCTTGTAAACCATGTCCTGTAACTCTTCTACAGGGTGTTACTTGCTTGTGTGTGGGACCAGCAGATAGTTTACATTCCATAGTCTTACATATCTCATAGCCATTTAATTCCTGACAAATTTAATACAACCCACTAAGAAAAAATGAGCATTTAGAAGGGTAAAGGAGGTTATTTATCATTTTAATATTACAGATGTGTAGTATTGATTCTTCTGTAGAGAGACAATATGATTTTAATGTTCATAATTTTTTGTTGTTGCAATACTAGTGTTTGAATTCAGGGCTTTGCACTTTCTAGGCAGGTGCTGTCACTTGAGTCACACCCCCAGCCCTCAAATATTTTTTAAGAATAAGAATTTTAATACTGTATAATGAAATTAACTTAGAGCTTAGCAGGCTTGATTTTAATTCTTTGCTAAAATTTTCCACATTTTTTTCTAATCTTGTGTGAAGAAAATGAGATTGTTTTTAGTGATAAATGTGTTGTTTTTGTTGGAATTTTAGTTTCAAAATTAACTTCATAATGTTTTATGTTTATGTTTATGTGATATTTTCATCTTTATTCTTCAAATTTCAGGTCCGCAATTGAAGAAGGTAAAGGGATTTATAATAACATTAAAAATTTCGTTAGATTTCAACTGAGCACGTAAGTTTGCAAGAACTTTGTCACTGTGGATCTTCTAAATAATTTATATGACAAATAAACTTAGCAGAATACCTAGAAATGTCTGTCCTGTATTACTAGGGTTCATTAATAAGTAAGTTTTCCAAAAAGAAAATTAGTTGTAATTCTGGAATTAAAAATGGCATGACAAATAGGTTCTAAATGTGACAATTCGGTGTTTCTGAAGTTAGTCAGCCCTGTGTATTTATAGGTTCCACATCTGTGGGTCCAACTGTAGACTGAAAATACTCAGAAAAAAAAATGCATGTGTACTGAATATGTATTGACTTTCCCCCCTTGCCTTTATTCTTGAAACAAGACAGGATAACAAGTATTTACTTACATATTGAGATAGCATAAGCTGTTTTAAATAATGTAGAGATGACTTAAAGTGTGAGAAGAGGATATGTATGGATTATATGCCAAGACTGTGCCATTTTATATAGACTGGGAATTTGTTATTGGAGGGAAGTCTAGAACCAGTGCCCGTGAATGCTGAGGAATGACTATATAAACCATTGGGATTTATTTAATAGCTTTTGAAATCTAAGGGAAAGACAGTCACATCTCAGTGTTTCTGCTTGGTATCTTTTTCTAAAAATAAAAGAGGTTTTCTATCGTTAAAACACAGTTGACTATTGAAAGTGATGACTTGTAGGTTTAAAAAAAATCTTTCTCTCAGCTGGGCTTTGTCCTATACACCTATAATACCAGCACTTGGGAGACTTAAGGTAGAAGAATTTTAAGTCCAGGTCAGCCTGGGCCACCTAGAAGGAGCCTGAAAAAAGAAAAAAAAATTTTTTTTTCTTCCTCTGTTGGTTGTTGTTGTCTAAACATCTTGGAAATCTGTTTTTTTAATACTCTTCATCTTTAAAATGTTTACATGAATGAAGCATAGGTTACTTGAATTATTGCACAGTAGTAACATGAGATTTTAAATTTTTGGAAAATGTTAAAAAATCAACAGGAAATTTACTATGCTGACAGATTTTTAAATGACTTTTCCAACAGGAGTATAGCAGCCTTAACTTTAATCTCATTGGCTACATTAATGAACTTTCCTAATCCCCTCAATGCAATGCAGATTTTGTGGATCAATATTATTATGGATGGACCCCCAGCTCAGAGGTAAGAGTTTTTCATGCACAAACTACAAAGGTAAGGAAGGTGTAGTACGCTGATAATTAAGTTTTAAAACTTATTATTTCCAATGGTGTTGGAAACTTTACAGCAAGATGTTTGTTATAAATTGTATGATGTGTGCATATCATTCTCTTTGAATGTTCGTTCATACAGTAGGGATCTGAGCCTTGACTGTGTCTGATGCCGAGCCTCTAGATAAGAGCAGATCAGGGAACAGGTGCAGTTCCTGTCCTTACAAAGTAAGCTTTTTATTTCTGAGAATTAGACATAATGGAGAAATTTCCACGTTCAGCATCTCTCTCTAGGCTCCTTGGTCAACTTTAGAGACTTGGGGAAAGTATTAAAGGAGTATATCTGTCTTCTTTTCTTTCGTAGTTAAGGGTAGTTGAGTGGTACATGTCATTGGCCATTGCACCAAATCATCCTTGGTTGAAAGATATTGTTTGTTTGGTAGGTCATATATTTGAAATAAATTTATATGTAAATGAAATTGAACAGTTTTTTGAAAGTTCACTATCAATTGCCTATCATGCCAAATAAATGTGAAAGAAGAGAGAGAGAGTGATGAAATCAATAGTTATTTTTTCTTCTTCCTCTTCAGCTCATCAGGGTTTCACTTATGTTGCCCATTCTGACTGTTGAAGTCCTGGGCTCAAGTGATCCTCCTGTCTTAGCCTTCTGAGCAGCTGGTACTGCAGTCATGTGCCACATGCCCAGCAGTGTTTTGTTTTTTTTTTAAAGTAGTCATAGCCCACGTTTTCTTTGTGATTCAACATTTTGTTTTCATATGAAGGCATTTAGTTTCTTGGGTGACTGAAGTTTAGTTAGACTGTGAAAGAAAGTCCAGACTTTAACACTTGAAAGTAATTCATTTTTCTGTTTGTTTTTAAGCCTCGGAGTAGAACCAGTGGATAAAGATGTCATTCGTAAACCCCCTCGTAACTGGAAGGACAGCATTTTGACTAAAAATTTGATACTTAAAATACTTGTTTCATCAATAATCATTGTTTGTGGGACTTTGTTTGTCTTCTGGCGTGAGGTATATTCATGTGGATAAACTGCTTCATTACCATGCATTCTGTTTGATACCATTCCAAGGAAGACTGGGAAGTTGAGAGCTCTTTGTATGAAAAAAATGTGATCAAAGCATTTTAAGAGTTTGACTTCAGTCTTTATGGGTTAATTGAATTAATGATTTAGAACACAGTTATTAAATTTGCCAAAAAGTATCAGATAGGATAAAAATATGAAAATTTGGGAAGATGTTCAGAAAATGGAGTCCTTAAATAGCTACTTTATTGTTAAGTAATAACAGTATTTCAGTATTCGATATTTAGTTCATGATAAGGTGTTTTACTTTTATGTAGCCTATAGTTGCTCACTAGGTGATTTATAGAAAATTTAAGTAGCTTATATTTTTCATGCTAATGGAAGGAAAATAATAACATTCAAAAAGTATGCAATATTTTTTCATTTAACTCATCCACTGAAAAGTGGTTTTCTTTTTTCACCTTGACAGCTACGAGATAATGTGATAACACCTCGAGATACAACAATGACTTTCACATGCTTTGTGTTTTTCGACATGTTCAATGCACTGAGTTCCAGATCTCAGGTATGCTTAGGTGATCTTAGTTAATAACCCCATTGATTATAGCAATCAGTAATAGGAGGTAGGCTAGGGTTAATGGGTTGTTAGTTTTGTAGCCACAGATTGTAGCCCCAGATACAGCCTTCTATTACCATGTGCCATCAGTCAGCAGTAAGGGCAAGGCATTTGGGGGATAAGCCTTACCTTTGTCTTCAGAGAGCAGTGTAGAGCTGAGGTGGTGGTGTCTGGTCTTTCTTCCATTCTCTTACTAGCTGTAGCTATAGGATAGCTTTGGGTTAACAGTATCTGAACATAGGACAAATCTCATGGGCTCCATTAAGATGGTCTTGATCTCATTTTAGAAGAAAGCATTGTTATAAAGACAAGAACAATTTGTTTCTCATCATTTTTGTCAGTATGTCAAAGTTCAGAATATTTAATCTTGCTTTTCTTCCCAAGTTGTATATTAAGATGTAGTTGCCTTTTGTTTTAAAAGTTTTATGATGGACAGTAAGGGGCTAGAGCCTTTTTACTTCTTCAGGGTATATTGTTCTTGAAAACTAGTTCCATTTGGGATATGACTTTACTGCAATGTTGAAGCACTTCATAGCCTCTGGTTTCTCTTAAGTTTTTCACCTATTAAACCACTTCATGAATCCTAACTATGTCTGTTGCCATTCTGAGTTATTAATTGTAGACTCATTTTTGGAGAAGCTATAACATTTGTGTTTTTATGAAAGGCAGTTTTACTTTTTCAGTATACACATAACTAGGTCCATTCTTCAAGAAAGGATTTTAGTTTACGTACTTTAATGAATGGATTGAAAAAATTTATCAAAATACGAATAAAATTTCTTATTGCTTTGGGTTTCTTTTAAGTTTCTTTCTGTGGCCTCATTTATATAGTCTCACTCTTTTTAAGCAATCCCTTTTGTTAATGCTTAAAAGTTGCTTAAAATTTACCCTTGTTCCACCTGGATTATTCCAAAATAATAGTTAAAATTGAGAGATTCCATGGTATTGACATCATGGTGTTGACATCATGGTATTGACATCAATGATACACAGTGATACTGATTGTTAAAAATTGAAAGCAAGCATACTAATGAAGCTAATTCTTTAACAAGGGAGTAATAATTGAACTCTCTGCTTTGCCAACAGACCAAGTCTGTATTTGAGATTGGACTCTGCAGTAATAAGATGTTTTGCTATGCAGTTCTTGGATCCATCATGGGGCAGTTACTAGTTATTTACTTCCCTCCACTTCAGAAGGTTTTTCAGACGGAGAGCCTAAGTATACTGGGTAAAAAAAAGTTTGCTTTATATATTTTAGATGAATTGTGTTCTAATGTGCTTGTCCTAATCTTAAACTTCTTTTGAAATAATCAATATGAAAAGTATTCAAATATGTACATAACCTAAAAAGTGCCCTTTGTTTTTTCATTTGGGGAAATTCAAGGGAGTCATTCTCTTAACTATAGGGCTTTTTAAAAATTTTTTTATTTTTCAATACTGGGGGTTTGAACTCGGCCTTGTGCTTGCTAGGCTGGTGATCTACCACTGAGGTAGTTCTCCAGCCCTTTTTGTATTGGTTATTTTTGAAATAGGGTCTTGCTTTTTTGCCTGGGCCGGCCTGGACTACAGTCCTTCTGTTTGTGCTTCCCGCATAGTTGGGATGACAAATGCACACCCACTGTGCCCAGCTGTTGGTTGAGATGGGGTCTCATGAACTTTTTATCTAGGCCTGCCTTGAATTGCGATCCTCCCAATCTCCAATTCCCAAATAGCTAGGGTTTATAGGCTTTTGAGCCACTGTAGGTTTTTAATTTGTTGTTTGGTCTTTTTTTATAGATTACTAATTGCTATAAAATCATATTTGATTCTGAACTCTAGCCACTAAGCTTGTTGTAATTATAGTTTAATCATTTTAATATCTTTTTTAAAAGTTATAAAATTTTCCGTTTTGAATGAAGACAAAACTAGATTTAAGCTCACTCAAAACCAAAATGGTTCATATTTAAAGTTAGATTTTATAAACTAATAGTTTATTATTCTTGTGAATTCTATATTTTCATTTTGTGAAATGTCAGCCTGACCCTGAAACCATTACATTTTATAAAGTTTCTGTGGAAACTGCACATTGTTTCACATATCATACATTAAATGTATGATAACAGTGCATTTAAAAATTAGTTTTACTGAATAAGTGTGAGGAACAATGTATTTGGGGAATGCTGTTTTTAATTTTTGTAAGTTAATTTGGCTGTTTATGAAAATGAATTGTATAGTGTCATTATAGTTTTTGGTACAAGTTGAAGTTTACATTGAAATACAGGTAGATTAGCTTCAGTTTTTAAATTCCATATTCATATTGCTTTTTGTATAAAAAATAGACTTTTATGGAGATGACCACAGTTTTTCAAGCAATGAATAGGACTTGAGATACTGTGCATATTAACGGCATAGTCGTCCCGGCTTGGAAGTGGAACATAGTGGTGCATAGTTCTTAATCTTTAGCTGGACATTTGCAGTCAAATTGATTACTACTTCTTGAATAGTTCTTTTTTTTAAAAAAAGGGCAGTGTGACTTATTAAATAGAAAACTGTTGGCATTACTGCTAAAGCTAGTCACTTGAGGTTGTGGTTCAGGGAAAGTGGTCAGAGGACTGGGGTTCTAGTTCTAGCTGCTGGCTTTCATAGCTGTGTGACTTTGGGTAGATTTTTAATATGTTTGAGCTTTTGTTTACATTTTTTTAACTGAGGGTAATGATGTCTGCTTCATCAAGTCGATGTGAAACAATATATCTAAAAGCTGTGGCAACATGCTTGAAGAATGTAAGCTATTAAGCTTTGTGATTATAAATTTCAAAGAATTTTAAATCTAACTTACTTTCTCTTGCAGATCTATTGTTTCTTTTGGGGCTCACTTCGTCCGTGTGCATTGTGGCAGAAATTATAAAGAAGGTTGAAAGGAGCAGGGAAAAGGTCCAGAAGAATGTTCCTTCGACACCATCGTCTTTTCTTGAAGTATGATGCATATTGCATTTTTTATTTGCAAACTAGGAATTGCAGTCTGAGGATCATTTAGAAGGGCAAGTTCAAGAGGATAATGAAGATTTGAGACTTTGAAACTTTTCATTGACTAAAAATGAACATTAATGTTAAAGACTTGATTTGAGACTTTAACCTGCTGACAAGCCCAAATGAAATTATGCAACTTTGATAACATATTCCTTGATTTAAATTGGCTTTTGCGATTGACTGGAACTTTATAAAGTATATTGGGCAGTTATTTAAGTAAAAAGAGGCAAAACCTGAACCACCTTCTGCACTTAAAGAGATCTAATGTACAAATACACTATCTATCTTAGATAGATACAAATATTTTTTTTTTATTTTTAAATATTGTACTATTTATGGTGGTGGGGCTTTCTTACTAATATACAAGTTTAATCAATTCAAAGGCATTCTATTTGGTTAAGAAGTTGATTGCCAGGAGTGCCATATTTCAGCTACTGTATTTTCTTTTTCCTGAAATGTAAGCAGCTCAGATACCTTGTGCTACCATTTTTGTGTTTTAAGTTTTTTTTTTTGCACAGGATGTGCCACTGTCAGATCACTGTTCTTTTCTTTCTTTTTGTGATTGAAAAGCATATACTGCAATTTGAAGTAAATGTTTGCTTTTCTTAGTAAGTGTAAATGTTTTTCTTTTTTTCTTTTAAGGTGTGAGTCTTTGGTTTGGCAGAATTAGTGCAGGGATATCAAGGGGCATTCTAGTTAAAGTAACAGTGTCTGTGATTAACACTTAGTTATAGAGCCAGAACACTTAAGACTGGGGTGAAATTGATAACAAATTAACATGTCGTGTCGCCTTTTTAGTTGGATATAAATACATACTTTGTCATCCCCTAAATATAAATCCCAAGAAGTTCAGCTGAATAACTGAATTTTATTATTTTTTACTGTTTCATATGTGTGTTTTTATGTATCTTTCTTAGGAACTGCAGACTACTTAAGGAATAAAATAGCTCCAAACCCAAATAGATGCTTTATGAGTCAGGGCATCTGTGGAAGGTCCTGTGCTGACCTTGCTTCTTGTGGGTCTTCTAGGTGGCTTCTTTGGCCTATGTTCTAGAAGGCACAGCCGGGTCTGAGCCTTGTACTTCTACTATTTATTCTCTATCTTGTTGCTTCATTGGGCACACTTGAGGAATAGATGGATTTGCTGTGTGTAATGCCATCAGGTTTTATAAAAGCTTGATAAAAAGTGGGCAATTTGATGTGTGGCAATTTGGGGCAGAAATTTAAAATTTGAAATCCACTTTCCTACTGAATATTTCTTTCTATAAACCAAAATGGGTCTGAGATTCTTACAGGATTATTTCTTCTGGAAGGTAGTGAGTTTTGTGTTTTATAAACCATTCCTAAGCTTTTATTCATTATGAAATTGCAAGTGTTAATAACACTGAAATAACATCATTGGTAGGAAAATATTATTTTGAGTCCTTATTACTGACACGTTAGGAGCTGAGATGTCTACACTTTGCTCTTTACTCTTTCATTCTGAACAGTCACATGTACAGTGTTCTTTCTTATTAGATGGAACATGGAGGCTGTTGTCTGATCAACTCTATCTTTGGTGACTTGATGTCTCATACCTAAATTTTATAATGCTTTTCATTCTCTTTTATAGACTTGAAATACATATTAAGTGCATATCAATCTTTATTGTTTTGCTATTTAAGTTCAGTGTATGACTTGAATGAAATGAATGTGCCTGTCTTTTCATTTGGTTTTTGAACTATAAAAATAAAATGATTTCTTTCCAGAAGTTGATGACTTCCCAGTTAGTATTGTTAACATTAAAATTTTCTGTATGGATGCTGAAGATGTAGAAATTTTTTGATTTAAAGAGATTTCAATTTCCCATAGTATATTAATCCAAATTAGCATGGATGAGTTAAATGTGTTAGTATCTAAATTTTTAATTTTTACTCTATTCCCTAGTTCTAGGACTTGGTAGAATCCCTAGCAATATAGTTTGATCCTTCTTCCCGTTCCCTGTTTGCCAGAGTGGTAAATGCCAGGAACAAAAAGAAAGGGACATGAAACAATTCACCAATTAGATAACCAATGGATGAATAACTGGCCATATAATAACAAATGATCCTCCCTCCCCCCAGATGAAACAAAAGTAAAAACACACAACTCACAGAACCTCCCTCTCAGGATGTCGGCTGCCTTTGATAGCGTCAACCATACGCACAAGGATAAGGCATGTTTTTGATCTTTAATACTCATTGCATGGTGCATCTGTTACAGCCATAATCTTTTTGAAGTTGCTTTAAGTTTGGATCTCTTTCATGTATTCGGTGACAAGACTTAGTTTCTCAGTGAAATAAGTTGGTGGCAAATAATAAACATTATATTTAAGAACCTTCATTGTTTACCCTGCCTTCTGCCTCTTGTCACTTGGTAATTCATATGCAGTTTATTTCCACTGAAGACTTGCCCAAGAAGTTAGATGGATGAATTGAATATCTTAGCATTAAACATTTGTTTAGTATCTGTGTGTACAAGGAGTAGAAAGATGATGGCATCCTTGCCCTTGATCTCAAGGACAGGGAGAATAGGTGATAAAACTATTAACAAGCTGTTTCAAGAAAGTTAATAGTGATCTTTGAACATTTACTTTAAAAATACATGTATATTAAAATGACTACAGCACATATTTCACTAGAAGTTTTCCTTGACATGGCTTTTTTTTTCCTTTTGAAATGGCTTTTTACACTGAGCTATAATCCAAATAGTAGTTGATTTATATACTAAAATACGGTATGAATAAATATTGAGCCCACCTGGTATGTGACTACACATCCAGATCATTCTGGTAGTTAACCTTGTTGAACTTGTCTAGCACTTGGTGTAACTGTCAGTTTTTGTTGGACAACTTTATTTTGACTTTTGGTTGCCATAGTTGGCTATCACTAATAATGGGAAATTTCTGATACCAATGTAGATATAGTTGTCTGTAAGCATTGTTGCAGGAAGTTCTCAGTCTTCTACTCTGGAGACCAATGTGAAATGCATCTAATACTATACTAAATGCTGTCTAAAAGGTTGCAGTAGCTAAGGGGAGAAATGACTTCATGGAAGGAGTTTGTCAAACATTTCTAGAAATAGTGGCATCTGAATGAAGCCTTGAATTGGAAACGTCCAGCCAGGAAGTAGCAAGACATTGCAAGCAAACAGTAGAAAAAAAACACTGAAGGAACATTCTCTGGCCCTATCAAAGCCAGAGATACAATGTGAGGGGCTGGATAGTTGGACAGATAGTTGGTGAAGGAGAGTTGACTTGTCCTGTAGCATGTTGGAAGAGTTCAAGAACATAACTTGTGTTTGAATTTTTGTCTTACAGTAATGGAAGCATGGAGGGTCAGTTGTAAATACTCATATAGGGAGACTAGTTAACAAAATTGTGAATGCTTAATAGTAAAAGGATAATTAAGATGCTCTATCTAGATTGCTCAAAACGGGTAGGGATGTGTGTGTGATAATGATAACAGTACAACGCCTTGAAAATACCATCAATAGTAAGCACAGCCATAACTTTTAGCAGAAAATTGTTGTTATTTATTTATTTAGTTTTGGTGGTACTGGAGTTTGAACTCGAGCCTTGTACTTGCTAGGTAGGCACTTTAGAGTGTTTTATTTTGTAGGATACATTAAATCCAAGCCTACTTTTTTGATAAATTTAGTCAGAAATTTGATATAACTTATCTTGTCATTCATAATAAATTCAAGTGTTGAAGTTTGAGGAGAGAAAAAACCCACTTATTTGAGGCATTAGTTTTGATTCTTAAAATTAAAAAAAGCTGAACCTGCAAGTGTTCCTGTATACTACAAAGTAAGGGACTTTATGTGTACAATTGCTACAGGTGGTGGGTTTCCTGTTCTTACCTCCTTTTTCTCAGTTCTAGCCAAATTGACATATTTGTGGCCCACGTTTCTATGATGGCTTCACTTTTTGTGAAGGCTCCACAACTGTTTGGCCCAGAAGAATTTCCTTTCATATCTAACCCAAGGTTGCCCCTGAAGCAATGATTTTATTCTTCTACTTAGTTACCCTTTGAGTAAAAACCACATCTCACAGTATTAGAAGCTCTAGATGCCACAAAGTGGGCAAATAGTAGATAGGTTCCAGAAGTCTGCTTTGGAGTTCTGTATTTCTACCTTTTGTAGAAAATACAAAATGTGCTTTATAATACAATTTTTAAAAAATACTAATCTTCTTAACCACATTAAGCATAATTGCCCATTCAGGTTTTCTGTGGTAAGTACAGTTTGAGAAGTGGCAATTTGGTACCACCTTATGTCACAAAGAACATCTTATGCCAAAAGAACTTGACCAGCTTGTTCTTTTTTTGTCAAGTCTGCATCTCACAGATTGCTGTGAAAGTCTTACAAAAACATTATCCTTAGAGCAACACATAGCTGGCTCTAATAGGTGATTGTATAGAAAATGCTTACCTAATGGGAGAAATAACAGACTTTATGTTTAAGTACTGTTAGATCAACTTTAGAAAGTTATAATTAGTATGTTTCCATTCATGTTTCTTTTCTTATATTCATCTATATGGTTGCACAATAGGATTGCATTAGATTCTCTAATTATCTACATTGGAGCTGGTCTGAATGGCCCATGAACTGGCTAGAGATGTTAGAAGTTAAGGAAATAATATTTTAATTCTCCTTAAACTCACCCACTGGAGCTGGTACTTATTTTTGGTGTTGGCAAATGATGCCATGCAGGCCAGATCCTCATGCTACCGGCTTTTGTAAAGTTTCACACAGCTGCACACATTCATTTATGTACTGGTTATTGCTGCTTTCATACCACAACACTAAAAGTGAGTAGTTGGCATAGGGATCATATGGCCACAAAGTCTTTACTTACGTGGCCCTTTATAGAAAAAACTTGTGTACTCATTCAGATAGTCAAAAAGAGGAAAATATATCTGTACTTTGCATTCACCGGATTGGAAAGAAAGTGGCATCAATTTTCTCTGCCCTCCAGTCTGGGATGGGTGCACTTGGTAGCAGATTTGGTGAGTCTCAGTCTCTATCAGGGCTCCTAGGTGGAGACAGCTGCAGTCTGTCCTCAGCACATCATCAACAAGGAGGACATGCCAGCTGTTAATCAGTCCCAATCTTTACCAATGCTGCTACTTGTTCTTATAGTGGGTGGAGTGTTCTCATGTCCCACCTGACATCAGATGTGTTCCTCATTGTCCCTGTCCTCGCTCATGGCAGCTGTTATCTGAAGCAGAGTCTACTCCTATCTGCTCCCTCCCACCTTCCACAAGAGAAGTAGAAGTTTCTCAGAGAAACAGGTTTAATTTGAATAGGCTAAAGTATATTACCTTATGTAGAGAAGATAAAATTTATTAATAGTAGAAACCAAAATATCCTAACAGCCCAGTCGCAGGGGAAAAATACACTCTAACTCATTTTCACAGAACTTATCAAGCCAAAATGTATTCATTAGTATTTCTCATATTTCTGAGGTAAAATTATAATAATTCTTCATAGTCTACTTGTGACTTCTCACAACTTAGTTCCTTTACCAAAAAACGTTAGTTATAATAGGGTCAATTTCTTTAGTTTGTTTTTTAAAAAATAGTTTCATAGGTCTGGGCACTAAAAGGCCTACAGCACTTTGTGACTGGAACCTGAGTTTGTGGATGTCACTGCCTCTAGATTTTCACAGCAAAGGCTTCTCCTCCCTTCATTGTCTACCTTTCTTGAGGCAAGGCAAAGGAATGATGGAAGCATGGTCTCCTGATGCCATCCTTCCTAGAGGGTTCAACTTAACATATACTTCTGATGAAAACAGTACAACGTGCTCATTGGAGGCATTTGTAAATGGAGGAGAAGAGGAAACATTTCATAAACTCAGCACCCAACCAACCAGGCTGGATCTAGCTCCAGACCTAGATCCAGCTGCCTAACAGATAGCTCCGCTTACCTGCCTAAAATGAGTATTTAATGTATCCACAGAATTTCCAGTTCCTCCACTTCCCAGCTATACCCCATCCTGTACAAATGAATGACAGTGGAATAGAAAACCTGAAAATAAAGGGTACCTGCTAGTGCTTTAGAGAACACATAAAAATTCTTTATTATACCAATTTTAGCAATAACTTGTGTCATATATTATTGGTACACTTATATGCCCCACTTTGTTTTTGTTAATGTATATTTACTGAAACAAGGTTCCCAGTTTTCATCTGCTAATGTGTACATTAATCCATACTACCTCTCTTCCATTATTATATGTAGTTACTGTATATCCAAGATAGCAGATATTGAGACACTACAAAGTAGACTTCCTCTTTTTCATGTCAACGTCTTTTGATTTATATCCTGATAATGTGGAACACATATGAATCCGACAGAGGAAAGTGGAGTGAGCAATGCCTGCATAGACACATGGCAATATATCTAGATGGAAGTGTCAGCACCTTACTTAAGTCTCCAAAAAGTATTAATATGTACAAACCACCTGAAACATTTCAGGGTTCCTGATCTTATATGCTAACTCACATAATGGCATAATTTTCACTGAACCAAATGATTGCTATCCTATAAACTGTGGTACAATTTAATCTTTCCAAGTGAAAATTGAGTTGATAATTTAAAATCACCTTACAATTTATAATCACCTTCATTTTCCCCCCAGAAAAATATTCCTGGGTGTTCCTGATCCTGATGATGGCTTATATCGTACACAGAAATCTCCTTGTTTCTAAAGTGGTAATAGTAAACTTTTTTTTATTTTTTGGTGGTTCTAGGGTTTGAATGAACTGAGTCTTGCACTTGCTAGGCAGGTGCTCTACCACTTGAGCTATGCCTCTAGCTCAGGAAGATTGTTTTTTAAACTATGTGCATACACACACAAAAATACATACAAATCAAGAGAAAGACTTAACTAAATGTGTAAGAAGTTGTTAAGACTAGTAAAGAGTAGCTGGGTGCTGTGGCTCATGCCTATAATCCTAGGTATTTGGGAGACTGAGATTGGGAGGATGTACATGAGATACCCATCTCCAAAATAACCACAGCACAATGGACTGGAGGTGTGGCAAAGCAGAGAATCTGATTTGCAAGTGTGAAGCCCTGAGTTCAAACTCTAGTCCCATCACAAAAAAAAAACCCCAAAAACCCAGTAAAAGTAGAAGAGATTGTATGTGCATTGCAACAGGCACATTTGAAATTTGAGTTCTCTTCCTGACTGAGAATCCAGTGAGACCCGCAGGTACTCTACCTGTTACCTCGTTTATCTTTCAATTTTAAGATATGGGAATAGGGCCTGGTGCAGACTTGCCTTTGAATTTTAAAACTTCCTTCCTCAGCATGAGATTCTCATCTTAGAATTTTTTAGGACTGTATGGACTTGAATTTTAGCATTATTCAGACATTGGAAAGAAATCAAAAGTAAATTACCCTGTGGCTCAGAAAGCTGTTTCTCAAAGTGTGAAAGCAAGTTTTGTTAAAAAAACATTGGTCAAAGAGAAGGAATAATTTCAAATGGGTACAAGATGCAAAAATAAGTTTTAGGTGCCATGGCTGAACTATGCTACCTGAAGACATCATGAGATGAATGTAAGGAATCCCGCATCCATCGCCTTGAAAATCAAGGCCGCCATATAAGTGTCATCTCTTTATAGAAGTGGAATTCTTTCCACTGGCCTTGGAGGTGACTTCTTTCCAGGTGCCGCTGTAGGTTCATGGTGGATAGCTAGCTATATCTTGTGGTAGAGGGCAGCCTCCAGTGATACCTGGCAACCTTGATAAGGGAGAAAACTAGGTTTGCCTTCTTAGGGTTACAGAGTAGGGGTGGGATATAACCTTGGCAGTTGCGGGAAAATGAAATTCATGGGAAGTGATAATAGCTGGTCTTATTTTTCTCTTCATACATACCCAGAGACCTTTCTAATTGAGTTTAAAAAACACTACATAGAATTCCTTGACAACAAGCAAAAGGGCTAGAGGGACCCAAGGACCAGTACAGGGATAATCCTTCTGGTCTTTTCCATGATTATCTGATTTTTAGCCTGCCTGCTCATTCACATTCTCTTGGCAGATCTCCATTCTTTCCAGTGTGCCAACTGTGCTGAAGCTGCTCTAACACTCTCACAAAACTTTTGCCCTTTTTCTCTTAGCTGTATTTGATAGTCTGTCTCTCTCCTTTGTCATCTCAAAATTCTGCCCTTAACTTTGACAGCCCTTATCAAAGTGTCTTGCTTTTTCTGCTGCTTGACACTCTTACTTCTTTCCAGGTCCCTTGCTTTTCCTCTTTTCATTTATGGATCTGATAGTAAGGGGTATTGTTTATGTCATGTTTTAAAATCACATTTTAGTACCATGAGAAGGACACAGGCACTTAAAAGTGCAAATTATTTTATCTTTAGACAATGATCTGAACTCCAACATTTCTTAGTTTGTTTGTAGGTAGGGCAACTGAGGTATAATCATTGATTTAAAAAGGCAAAGATATTCTAAGGCCTTTCTGGGGAATAAAGGTCTTTATCCTCTAAAATATAATTTGTTTGTTTTTTTTGCAGCACTGGGGTTTGAACTCAGGGTCTCACACTTGTTAGGCAGGCACTCTACCATGACAGCCAATCCACCACCCCTAAAATTATAATTTGAATTAGAAATTCAAGTTGAAATACTAAAGTTAACTTGAATTCTTCCATGATCAATTGGCATGAGAACTGTAGACAGCATATTTATAGGTGAATAACTTTCAAGATCTGGGCATCTCAAAAATAACTACAAAATAGACAATTTTATCACCACTATATACAGAACATGATTACATTACAGTAAATGGTTTTATCTCTAAAATTTATTCATCTTAGCTATCCATTATTCCTTCTGTTGCCTGAATTGCTAGCTGAAGACTTAACTTTCTAATGTCTATAGTGAAATTTCACATGCTAGAACCAAATCAGAAAGAGCAAACAGACCTGAAGACTTGATTGAAAACAGGAAACAGATTTTAGAAATGAAATACGGGACATTTATCATTCTATTTTTACAGTTGTTCCCATTGAGTTCTATGCCTGATTCTAATTGTATTTCTATCTGGCCAAAAGCCGGTCTGGGGATCCTGATTTAATTCTCTTCCCTGGTGACTGCTTTCTCCTTATTGTAGCATTCACTCTACACTTGACATTTTTGCACCCGATTGACTGCTTTATAAAATGTTCTTGTTTTATCATTGTGTTTTCTCCCAAGCAGCTTAAACAAGAGGGACTGGGAATGGAGGGAAGAGTCAGGTACTATGTCCTTAGTCTTTGGTGAACCCTTTTAGATACCCTGTGGGGTGCCTGTGACCTCCTCTAATACATGCAGAAGTTACACACTGGGGCAGGCCAATGTTCTGAGTTCTCACAGAAAGAGAGAATGGACATCATTTTCCTCCAGCTCCTTTACTGCAAGGCTGGATAATTTCAAGTGAGTGGCCCTAATTGCAATGGACAGAGAAAGAAACCTGACCTCTGTGACAGTCTCTCCATCCCCACCCATTTTCTTTCTTTCTGATTAGTCTGGCCTCAAACTGTCTTTCACCTCCTCAGTCAGCCTCCCCGTGCTGGAATTATAGGCAAGGAGAACCCTTTTACTGAAGGAAAAAGACAACTGATGAAATTCCGTTGACTTTCAGTTAAACTCTATATAACCCATATGCTTTCCAGTTTGGTGCCTATTAAGCTACTTGTTTGCGAAAGTGGGAATGAATTGAAAAGTTTTACATGCAAGGTGGAGGTTTTAAAAAGCAGTGTTGACGACAAGCCAGGAAATAAGACGCTCATATTGGTATGATTTTTAGATAACCCCAAACGCCAGGTATCAAGGAAGAGAGACTCTTGGAATAGCATGCTTATAGTCCCCATTAGGTCTACCGTTAGTGGGTCAAGCACATTTTTTCTCAAAGATGAGATACACAACTGTTCTGTTCTTGGTTATGTTGGGAATAACCACTTCTTTGAAGACAGAAGCAGCCTTACCAAGGAATTCTGTGCACCTCTCTTAAGATAATAAAAAATTTATTTCAAGAACTATTTGAAACAGAGGCTTCTTTTTAAGGGTGACTGCTTTATGAGCAAATGACATTGTATTTTCACCTTATAATGGCTTAAAGCCAGTCAACGCTTGGGAAGTGTGTATATGAAACTGGTTGATGCTCAGCTTACTCCACTCAGAGGACAGTATTTCTAGGAAAGTATACAGAACTATTCATCAGATCTTAGGGACAGGACACAGGCCTGTTCTAAGTGGAAAGGAACTTTTTAGAATTATTACTGATGGAAAACAGCAATGACAGAGCAGAGAGGAAAGAACATAGTTGTATGAATACATGAAGGCTAGAATATACTTTCAGATCTTGCCCCAGTTAATTTATTCCACTTGCTTATTTATTTTTGTGGTACTGGGGTTTGAACTCAGGGCCTCATGCTTGCTAGCAGGTGCTCTACCACCTGAGCCACTACACCAACCTTTTTTTTTTTGGTTGGGTATTTTGGAGATAGCATCTCAGAAACTTTGCCCAGGGCTGGCTTTGAACTGCGATCTCCTGATCTCTGCCTCCTGAGTAGCTAGGATCATAGATGCGAGTCACCAGTGCCTGGTCCACTTTCTTATCTTATTTTTATTTTCATGTTACTTGGAAATGGCCAGCACCTTTGCAACTGTTGGTATTTGTAATTTTAGCAGCCTCTAGTATTTTCTAGAAAATGTGTTTCAAGGTTTTTTTGAAGAAACACATTTTTTACAACCACCAAAGATATGTATATCTCGTATTTTCCATTAAAAAATGCTGGTTTACAGCTAGGTGTGGTGGCACAAGCCTGCAATCCCAGCACTTGGGAAGCTGGAGGATTGAAAGTTCAAGGCCATCCTGGGCTACGTGGTAAAGACCCTGTGTCCAAAAGCAAAATGGTGGTCAGGTGTTGCGAGGGTAGCTCAGTGCAGTGAGCACTCTTGCCCAGCACTCGTGAGGTCCTGGGTTGGACTCCTAGCAATGGTTGAGGGAGAGGAGCCGGTTAGAGTTTAACAGAAGATGAAGATCTGCTACTGCTGCCTGCGTTCCTGATGCTTTCATTTCTTCGCATTATTTCTCCCTTTTCTATTCTGGCAGCTCAAAATGCTGTTTATAGTGCCGAGGCCATTACAGTTTAAACTTCTTTAAAACTTGGGAGAGTACAAAACATGCTTAATCTTGTGTAGTATCGTTTACCAAGTTCATTCTTTGTTCTGCCTGGTGACCTGGCATCTGTCCATCATACACCAGACTTCTCTTACTAAAATATGAAGGAGAAACTTGATTTTTTGAAATGATTACCGGCATCTACTGTGGGAAATAATTAAAATAGGACTTCTACTCTTGAAAATATACTTGGCTAAAGTGTTGCAATTTAAAGTTGATACAGTATTACTTTTAACTTACCAAAAAGGAACATGAGAAGTACAAACAAGCTTCTGTTTGTAACAGAAACAAGTTTCTTAAATCAGTTTGCATTTATTAAAAGTACAATATAAAATATCTTGGAATTCAAAGATTATCTGTTACCATGTTTATCCCCTAACAGGTTAGTCCTAAAAAAGTAAAGTTAATAGTTTCAAGAGAGGTTGAGAGAACAATTTCAGGTAGAATTATATACATATATTTACACATTTGATTTGATGCAAACTGAGTCTATTCAAGCTTGGTGGCCCTCACTATTCTCCTCAGAGTTTTCAACCATTAACAGCCGGAACCGATTGCTTCCCTCGTACCAACACCTCCTGTCTGAGGTGGTTCCCACTCTGTTCTTTTCCTTCCTCCTTTTTTTTGAATTTGATTTACCCTTTGGTTGGAATAACTCAGCCGGGGCATATGACCTTGTGGCACTGAACAGACGTTCATAAAGTTGCTTGGCCTCAGGACACCTGCTCAGAAGGCTTTCTACTGAGGTCAAGGATAGCAGTCGCTGGCAGAGTCCGTGCACCAGGCTTCCACTGTACAGTCTGTTCAATGGGAGAAAAAAGTGTGGTTTTAAAGCATTAGTTCAGTGTGGTAGGACAACTGTTGTTAACATGGCTTCAACAAATGTGTGTAAACACTGAGAGCTCTTACTGTTTCAATACAATTACTAAAACTATTCAAGAATCTATTCCTTGTTGGAAGGAACTGAGTGTTTAAAACAATTCTTGGCTGGTGATACTGGTTTTGCAACTAGCTCCAAGTTGAATAGGCCATTTTAAAGAAAAGGAATTTATAAAAGGACCTTGATAAACCAAACAGGCAATTTGTTAACATACCAGAAAACTATAATGGTGTCATTTGCAAGGACATTCACTACTCCACAAAACATGGTATTAACTAGAATCCCCAAATTTAATGTATATGACTTATAGCTAGAGCTGATCAAATAGTGCCTTCCAAATCAGTTTGGAAGCATCATTTAATGAGTGTAAAATCAGTGTTTAAAAAGCCTTGATTATGCTGACATGAGAGGACAATCCTGCTGAAAGCATTAAGAGAATTGTATGGTCTTGTTTTTTGTTTTGTTGTGAAGGGATTTGTGGTAGCTAGAGGATCCAGTCAAGAATGACAAAAATTATTAAAGGAAAGGGGTAAAGAATCCATAGGTCAAAGGTAATTCAACTTACTCAGTCGAGAGTTTTTGTGTTTGGCCCAGAGAGATATTAGCAACACTATGTTATTGCTAGGAAGTTTTTCTTTTTTGTTCTTACCTTGAAACATTCAAAATTACAATATCCTATTTTGTAGGCCTCTATATATTATCACTCATTTAAAGTATGCTAGGTACTAGGGCTGTCACCATAAATACGACAGACAAGTTTCTGTCCTTATAGAGCTTATGTTTGAACAGAGAGAAACAGAGCATACATACAGTCCCAAACACTCCATTTTATATCCATCACCTTTCATCTTCCTCTCTCCCTCTCGAACTTCCTGGGTGGACAGTTACTGGGTGTGAGAGACCCACTGATCCTGTCACTTCTTCACTGGCCCACACTACTGCTCTCACTTCTGTCCTTCCTAGCTTCAACTTGAGTCACACATAATAATCACTCCCTGGCCCACAGGCTCAGCTCCCTTTCTGCCTCTCCCTTCCTCATATTGTCTGGCAAGACAGAAGTCCTAGATAAAGTCTTAATAGTCACCAGAATTAGAGCTCCACAAAAGCAGATTTTGTTGTTCGATGCCTCCTAACACAGTAGGTATTTAATAAATATTTGAAAGTGAGTAAACAATATGCCAGGTGGCAAGAAGTGCAATTAAAAAACTATAGAAAGAGTAGGAAGACTAGAGTGTGTGGGGGGGGTGGAGAGTAATATTTCACTTTAAAGTGATACTCAAACAGCTAGAGGAAATGAGTTATTTCTTACCAAAAACTGCCTCTTTTCCCCAACTGATTTTAAAAATTGCATCTCATTATGGAAACAGTCCTTGGGAAGATGGAAATAATTTATTTTTCCTTTTTCCAGCTCTTCAGTTACAACACTGATCTAAGACCAGTTACACTGACAGTCATCTGTTAAACGTAACTTGTTGGTTTTAAATAGAGATAAAATATTAATTTTTGTGTGGATAGTTCACTATTCATCTGAACCGACATTTCCAATGGCACTCACCGAGTTAGGTCTGGCTCTGGAAGAGGAGTGGCCAGCAGCTGGTTGAGGTACATCCCCATCTGGAGGCAGCTTTGCCACTGACAGAAGGCGTGAGCTGTGTCTAAATCCATTCTCGGGCCTGGCTGTGTTTCCTTCACCCTTTGGAGCTCTTCACACAACATCTTAGCACCACCTGCCCACACATCTTCCTTCCCTATATAAGAAACAGCCTGAGGGCAGTATTTCCAAAAACATTCTCATTATATCCACATACAAACTTCAGACCCACAAATAAGAAAATTAGTTTAAAATTTAGGCTTTTTTTTTTTCTCTTTTTGGCTTCATAAATGTCTTGTATAAACGGAAATACTTATACTGCCGGACCTTTTTTTAATGATAACCTAATTTTATTTAACTCCAGATTATTTTTCCTTGAAATATTTCTTCTACTGCTCCACTATGTGACCTTAAACATGTCTGAATGTGAATTCTCTAACATTTGTCTATGAAAAATACAAATGCCTATTAAACACTGTTTACTGTTCTTTTTCATAGTACTTCTTAGAAACCTCCACGCTGCAGTGAACTTGTTTTAACAAAACAGCATGTGTTCAGAGCACATTTTAACTTGTTTCACAGGAGGAAAACTAAAAGTCTGATTCAGTTTGACAAGTTGTCAGCCTCTGCATATGGTAGAAGATAAGGGGCAAGAAGCCACAGCTTAGGAAATAAGCAACACTGCATGTGTGAAGCTGGATGTTTCTGTAGGTTTGAGCAAAGGTGCACAAGATAACATTTGGACCAACTTGGAAGTGATAAAAGGAGGCCCACCTTTCACAGTTAGCGAGCAGCAAGGCACTGAGCCTGCCTGGGTGCAGGGTCCACATTTCCTAAAAGAAAAGAAACAGACCCTTGACCATGCCCCTTTCATAGGACTCAGGTAAAAACCGCATAGGCTTATGCTTGGAGAATTTCCTCATACTGTATGTATTATTCAGAGAGAAGACACCTTTAACAGCAGTGGGCATGAACTTTTTGTGAAGTTAGCTGTCATACACCAAAAGTCCCTCTGACGGCTGCTATCATACTTGAGCCTTAATACTTGGGGTGCTTTGGAGGTCATGCTATTTCATTCTTTGACTTTTTCTTTAACTACAGAGTAGCACTAGCCAGTCGAACTTTGTGCAGTGACGTAAGTGTTCTGTATCTGTGTTGCCAACACAGTATCCTGTATCCACACGTGGCTTCTGAGCACTTGAGATGTGGCTAATGTGATTGACAAGTTGAATTTTTCAAATGAATTTAACTTGAGCCACATGTGCTAGAGGCCACAGTGGACAGTAATGTTCTTCAGAGTGACAACTTTATATACGTTTAGATAGTATTGCAACATTCATAATCTTTTAAAGGGAATGTTACATTAAAGAATTTAAATGTTGGCTGGGCATGGTGGTACATGCCTGTAATCCCATCCACTTAGAAGACAGAGATTGGGAGGATCTTGATTAGAAGCCAGCACAGGCAAAAAGTTACTGAGACCCCATCTCAATGGAAAAAAGCTGGGTGTGGTGTACATGCCCATCAACCCAGCTGACATAGGAGGCAGAAGTAGGCAGATCATGGTCCAGGCCAGCTAGGGAAAATACATGAGACACTATCTGAAAAATAACTAAAGCAAAAAGGTCTAGGGTGTGGCTCACGTGGTAGAGCGCTTGCCTAGCAAGCACAAAGCACCGAGTTCAAACCCTAGTACCACCAAAATAAAAAACTGATGTATAAAGATGTCATCATTTATTTAACCTGATATTTAAGAGCAGATAAAAATGCCTCACTTATTTCTAGGAGAGTGTAGAGATGCTTTTCTATCATCACTCCCTTACTAGTTCAAACTTACAGTAGAGAAGAGTAGTGAAAACCAAACCAGCCTGAGCATGAGTGTTTATGGGGGTTGAAGGTGTTAAACGTCACCTCTGGCAATTTGAAATAAGTGTCTTGTGCTGATGTTGCTGTGTTCATGACGGGGTAGGAGCATGGATACAACATGCACCTGGCCAACACACCATTAATTACTCTTCACAAGTTAAAGCATTATGTGTCACAGAGGTGGGATGGGCAGTACCAGCACTTCTCAGCTGTGTACTTGGAGTCAAGCCCCCAGCACTGGGCCTACCACATAAAAGTGTTCAAAATTGTTTATCAATGAATGTAACATGCCAAAATATAACTCCTGGAATTTCCAAATACCTACCAGGGCTGTTGATGATGGCATGCAAGGGCCCCATCAGCATGCCCAGCAGTAATGCTTGTAGATGGTGTAGCTTTATTTTGGCCTCTATGTGTTGTAACCAGTAGCAACTGACAGCAATGGGCAACTTGAAAGAGGCAGGGATTGGCTCCAGGATGGTCTCTTTGACCTTCAGGGTTTCTAACAGAAGCATCTGCCTCTTAGCCAAGGGGAGCTGAAAATACATACCAAGCATCTTGCAAATTACTTTGGGAAGTATTTTTTTTTAAAAAACTATGAAATTTACCTTCATGTCAGCTATGAAACTTACCTTCCTGTGGAAAAAAAATTAGACACACCCAAAGCAATTAAAACATCAATAAGGTGCTTAATAAAGAGGGCTGCCTGAGTGTCTGGGTATACTGGGTATACTGTCTACCCCTCTGAAAAGCTTTTCATATGTCACTGCATCCTCTCTGTAGGCTAGTGAGCATTTTCAGTGCACACATCACTTAGGAAGCTTATTAGAAACTCAGTCTTAAGGCCCTTTCTCCTACTTTTGACTCAGTAATCTGAGGGGAGCCCAGGAATCTGCCTCTTAATTAGCAGCCTAATTCCACTTTGAGAAACAAAGATTTGCACTCAACCCTGCCCTTGTCATCAAGTGCATCCCACTTTCTCTGGGATGTCATTATTGACTATACCCAGAAGACATTGTTTAAACACATCCTGTGCAGCATACAGCCCTGTTTTTGCTTGGATCGGGTTTCATGTCCTTCTCTGCAATGTTTTACTATATTTCCATTCTCCCATACCAAGACTGAGTCTGGGTGGCTACTTGAGGTTAGAAGTATATTCAAGGGAGACTGGAGGGCTGGGGATGTAGCTCAGGGGAAAAGCGCTTGCCTAGCATGTGCAAGACTCTAGGTTCCATCCCTAGCACTGCAAGAAAACAAAAGGGAGACAGGAATATTTTAAGGACTACCAGGACTGTGCTTGCAGAAACACATGACTCTTTTTCTTCACGCTTTACAGTAGAGTGTGCTTCCAATAAAAGTTCAGAAGTGAACAGCCACGAGGGCTGTGGGCTTCGCACTGAAATTTCCCCGTAATGACTCAAGACACTGAGGAACGTAAAGGACCGTACATGTCTTACCTGCTTACAGATATGGACACTAAGACTATTAGGAGAGCGCCTTCAGAGGAGCTTTGTAATTAAACTGTAAGAGAAGAAAATAGTTGTATTCCTAGTGTCCACTTGCAACCAGAAAATGATGTCTGTCTTCTTTCTGGGAGGATGAGACCACCTGGTACATTTCTTAGCACGTGACACCTGGTCAGTAGTAAAGCTGTGCTTGACACTGAGAATAGAGCTGTTAACCTGATATGAAATGTGTCAGCAAATAGTTCCATCATCAGTGTATGAGGCCTTTGAATAGGAAGATGATTCTAAATACTTGTTTCAAGAGCACAGTAACATCGTGATAAAAATTTAAAAATCAGAAAAATGCAAAATGCCTTACAGTGTAACAATAACCCCCTACACTAACTACCATAAGCATTAACTACTGAAAGTAAAATAAAATGAAATCTCCTAAACTTAAAAAGTAGCACGTGCACCTGAAAATGCGCATTAATTCTTCCCGGTTATATAATCCTTAAATTACTGAATCTCAAACCAAGTTTCAACTTTTACAATCAAAGCAAAGCTGGACCCTGACTCCAGTGATGTTCTCCCTTCACTAGCTACATCTCCAAGCTTTCTCCAGTCTGTCTGGTCATCTGTAAAATTGGCTTGATAATGAGTTGCAGGAGATGTTCTACTGAACTCACCAGTCTACAATGCCTTCCAAAAGGGGAACTTCTTTGCCTACAGCTCTTAAAGCTGGGTTAGTTTACTGTATGTGACAACTCATTCCCTTTCCCCTCCAGGGCAGCCTAAGCACAAGCCTGCAGCTGTTGTCCAGAAAGAGGTGTCCAGAAAGAGAATGGCCTCTGCACTGCCCACACACTAAGAACAATCCACTTCCACGCTTCCTAATGATTTTTCCGTTTGTTAACCTGAGTGGTGTCCTGTCCACTGCAACTAACAGCTGAAACGACACTATCTCATGTGGTCTGTGAGAATTAATGAGGCACTGGGTAAAATTTCTATCACAAGCCGGCACAAAGGAGCTAAGTGCTACTAGCACATCATGTTAAGAGCAGCAAAACAAATGCCTACTATCACAGGTGTCTATGCTTGTACCTGCACTTGTGTTTGGAATAACATTTGCACATGGCATCATTTAGAATTACCACAGGCTGTTAAGAGCCAAAAGCAATGAGCTAAGTAGAGAACTGATCAGTTCATGCTAAGGGAAGACCACATGATAACCTCAGCAAGAAGTGAACTAAAATCTCACCCTAATTTGAATACAGGTAATTGGGAGGGTGAGATAGAAGGGTCATATGAGTTCTAGGCCAGCCTGGGCTACACAGTGAGACCCTGTCTTAAAAGAATGAACAGGTAAGTACTGAGAACACTTGAGTTATCTCCATGTAGCAAGAAATATAATGATCAGGCTTCATTTTGTTTACTGGTTGAGTTGGATTCATATAGGGACAAATGTCCTAACCTGTCTCATATCATTCACACACACTCCACTTCTGGATAAATCTAAATGTTAAAGGAAAAAAGACATTTTCATGATCTTGGGAGTAGGCAATTTCTTAAGTCACAAAAGTGCTAGCATAAATAATAAACTAAATGACTATACTAAGAGCTGTTCATCAAAACATACTAGAATGTAAATACAGGATGGGGGAGGCTATTCACTGTACGTTATCTGACAAAGAAACATTATGCAAAAACCCCAAAACACAGGCAAAAGATTTTGAGCACAAACTTCATACAAGACACTATCCAAATGGCTAATAAACATGAAAAGTCATCAGAGAAATACAAGTTACCTACCACAGTGGCTAAAATGATAACTACAACAACCACCAGAAAAGCCAGACTTTTTTAAAAGGCTGGGAAACATCAGATGTCCGTAAGAGCGTAAATACATGAAGAGGTACTCTCAGTACTGCTGGTGGGAATACTAATTGATACAACCACTTTGCAAGGTCTTTGGTTAGCACTTCTTATAAGCTGAACATGTGTGGCCTTGGCAATTCCACTGGTGTTTATGTATTAGAAATGTGTTCATATGTTTACTGATGTGCACAAGAATGTTCATGAAAATATTTGAAATGGCCCAAACTGGAAACTACCTAAGTGCCCATTACCTGGAAAATAGAAAAGTCAATTGTGGTATGTCCCCACAGCAAGATATATTTACAGCAATGAGAAATGAATCATCTACAGCTACTCAAAGGACATGAGTGAATCTCACAAACATGTTGAATAAAAGAAGCCAGATTGAAGAACTCCTCACAAAGTACAAATACAGTCGAATCTAAGAGGTCACGAGAGTGATCACAGGCGGCCAGAGCGTGGGTGACTGGAACCAGATACTAGAGAAAGCTGCTGGGGTGGTGGTGATGATTATTCATGTGGGTGCTCTTTGCATAGATGCATCGAGTTTGTGAAAATTTATCAAGCTGTACAATTATCTGTGAATTGCAAAGGAACAAGAGGAGTTCTTACAAGTGATGGATAATGCCTCATTTCAATTGTAGGATGGATGCACAAATAGAAACATGTGAGAACTCTTCTGTGCAGCACTTCACTGTCCATTACTTCTCAGTGAGTCCATAAGAAAGTTAAAAAGAATACTCCAACAGTATTATTTGTGCAATGTAGTTTTAGTAAAACGTTCTTTACAATGTTGCTAATTTGAATTTTATTGCTGTGAGTAAAGTTTTAATAAATCCCTTGTTGAGAATTTACATTCAACTTTCTAATTCTTTATTCCTTGGAAATGTGACGAAGGTAGACCCTCAAGCTGTGTTGTTAAGCGCAATGAAACGACTTCAACTATAAATGAACTATCAACACCTAATGTGGACACCACATCACATCTTGGGGGTCCACAAATGCAGTGGCTTACAATTAATCATGTTCCTTGCAGGAAGCTCAGAAGCAGTCTATGGAATTGTTAGAAAAAAGATGGGATCCTATGGGAGAGGAGGCTTTTAAGCTAGTGAGACTTCCTTTTTTTTTTGAGAGAGATAATTCAGATGTCACAAAATTCACCCTTGAATGTGTACAATTCAGTGGTTTTTAGAACAAGCCTGTACAACTATCACTAATTCCAGAAGCCCTGTTCCTATTAGCGGTCATCGCCTAATGCCAACGAAGTTCCTGCACCCACTCAATGTGAATCTCCTCTCCTCATGTTTGAGAGGCTGCTAGTGGGGAGGCTAGAAGCTGGTTCCTGGCTGGCTGCATGGACCAGGGATTGGCACAATGGACATTGGGGCCAGGGAATTCTTTTTGCTGCTGTTCTATGCACTGTAGGATGCTTAGAAGTATCCTTGGCCTCTTCCCATGAGATGCCAGAGCAATCACCAACCATTCTACTTCCGAGGAAGTGACAATCAAAAATGCTCCCAGGCACTACCAAGTGTCCCCTGGGGGGCAAACTGACTAACCAGTGGAGAACCACTGGTGTAGACTGCTGTGGAGTCTGTCAAGGACTCCCACAGGAAAATAAGGTCTGCTTCCAACTAGCTGGGAGGCTCTGGCCCTGTTACATCCTGGCACCAAGAGTGGCCCATGAATCTGTGAGTCTGAATATTTACTTGGATCTAAGAACCCAATAAGCATTGTAATTGTTTACCTGCATTTAACTTGTAAACTTAGGTTCATGTTGGTAATTTTTAATATATTCATGCAATATAAAAAAACACTAGGATCCATGAGAACATTTTTTTTCCTTGTATTCATCTGAGTGTTACTGAGGCTTCAGTAACAATGAGTTAGTTGAAGGGTCACATTTTTAGTAGCAAACTAAGCAAGTCACCATGATGCCAAGAAATGTAGACTCTAATAAAAGATTCTCACCAATAAAAATAATTGAAATCTGATGTAGTCTGAGATGTTACACCTATATCAAGTACTTATATATACACTTCATTTTTTGCTGTTTAATTTTTTTTGCCTTTTTTTTTTTAAGCTACACAACCCCATTCTACTGATGGCAAGTACCAGTCTAGTAGCAATAAATGCAAAGAAAACACAGACTGCTGAAGTACAGTGAAATGGCAGATTTAGAGCTGTAAGTTATAGGTTTGAGTTTTAGTACTGACATTGGCTGTTACTAAGTTCACTTGAGTTCCTGATTCCTTACCCATACTTATCAAGGCAAGAAAGCAACCAACCTCAGTTATGTTAAGAGAGATAACATGGGTGGATGTGGGGAACTCATGCCTGAAATCTCAGCTACTCGGGAGGCAAGAGATTGAGAGGATTCTGATTTGAGGCCAGTTGGGGCAAAAAAGTTAGGCCCTATGTCAAAGAACAAGCTGGTTGTGTTGGTTCAACCCTGTAATCCCAGCCAAATGGGAAGCATAGGTAGGATTACCATCTGAGGCTAGCCTGGGTAACAAAAAATGTGTGAGACCCTATCTGGAAAATAACTAACATGATTGAAGTGGTAGAGAGCATGCCTAGCAAGTGCAAGACCCTGAGTTCAAAACACCAGTCCCTCCCCCCACAAAAAAAAGAGGTAATATATATGAAAACACCTTTAACTTTTAAAAGTTATAAAAAACTTCATTAGTATTATAAATACTTACCTCGGTCAGTTTGCTCAAATCAGAATGATCCTTGGGCGGTTTTACTGCATTAACAATTGACGTTTTGATATTTTTATCAATCCTTTCCACTTCACTGAAAGCTACAGGCCGTGGAGGCAATGCATTCCAGAGCATGTTTTCTGGATCTGATGAAACATTCAAAAGAAGCCCATAGATGACTTGCCGGATGGGCTGAGATACTCTGTGGGCATTTGGTCGCTGCATGTTTTCTACCTGGGTATGAAGAATGGTCCGTCTTAGCACCAGACCATCACTGATTAAAGGAGACAGCTGGCCTTTGGCTAAAGCCACAAGAACCCATTCTGGTAAACCCAGCTCCAACGTATCTGGACAGACGTAAGCACCATATTGGAAGAAGTCCTGTAGCTTCACCTGGGAGTGCTGGTATTCTTCCATGGAACAGCAGAGAAGTTCCTTAACATTTCCTCGATCCTTTTTTGGGAGGAAGTTCAGAACAGTATCTAGTGCCTCAGCAGGGTTGGCAAAATGAGAGAGCCAATTTAGCAGTCCTAGAACCCGGTGGTGTCTCCTCCCCTTAGAACTAGTAGCTTTAGGAGGAAGACATACTTTACTTAAGAATGTCTCCATGATGGGCAGATTAATATGGTCGTTTCCACACAACACCGCAAAGAGAGGAAGCAGAGCTTTGTTCATATTGCTGAAGTAATGGCAGAATGCATCAAGGGAAAAGCATTTGGCAGGTATATAGTAGTTCTGTGTGCCCTTAACAGTATTCATATTTCTCCACTGAAAGCTATTTAATGGGCAAAACCCACTTTTCAGGTCAAAAATGCAAAAGTCACTATCTGATGACAACACTGGGCAGTTCCAATGATTGGCAAGGGTCATGATGTCTCGATCTGCTTCTGAAAAGCACTGGACAAAACTTACTTGCAGTTTGTTCAAAACCTGTATGAACACTTCTCGGATGAGTAAGGGACACACACACCCTCCCCCACCAATGGAAAGGGAATGGGCTGTCTGGATCTTCTCTCTAGCTCGATCCTTTATGGTTGTAAGCTTTTTATCTGAAATGTCACATCCTCCATCTAATACCACATATGGACATATATTACAAGTAAACAGTGATTCAAAGAACTTCTGTACAACTTCTGCAAAAGAATCATAGTCCCCTCCATACCGGAGCTCCAAGTTTGAATTGAAGCAAAGATGGTGGAAAAGAGAATACCCATCAATGATAATTTTTGTGTTCTGCAGTTTTAAATCAGTAAAGAACTCATTAGTATGGTCTTCCACTAACGTCATTAGTCCTCGGATACCCATGATGACAGTCAGAATTGCCTGTGAAAACAACACATTTTCAATTGGTGTTAGTTATGGGGCACCAAGTCATTGCATCTAGCACCATTAAATCAGCAGCAAATGTTATTAAGTCCTCTTTAGATAGAACATAGTAGTTGAAAACACGTCTGAATTCTTACCTAGATCTGGGCGCTTTTTTATGCTTCTTTGCTTTCCCCATGTGATGTAAGACACAAATTCAGTAGTTTCATAGCTTTTGATCTTTGGTTAGGGGTGGAGGCTGCTCTTGATCCTAAAGGAAGACCAGGTAAAACCCATTACTGATGCACTAACACAGAAGTTCTATGGACTTTGATGCTGAGGTCACAGTAACTGCCTTACAAAAGAGTATTTGTTTTGTGGGGTCAAAGGAAATTGTCCTAAACTATAAAAATGACATCCTTATCGATAAATCAGCAAGCAGTGGTCTTCAGTAAACTAGAGTATGCTTCAGTAACCCATGATAAGGTTCCAGTTTTTCTTCTTTATTATCAGATTTGGGGGAGTTCTTTCAGGTCTTGGGTGTGGGGGCCTGTAGACGTTATAGTTTGAGATAAGGAAAACTAAGCTGGAAGCTTCATGCTTTTAGGAACCCAACTATCCAGTTTCACCCCAACTGGGATTCTTATTTTATTTTATTTTTTTTGCATATTTTGCTAATTTAACTCACTGGATTGTTACTGGCTTTTCCTTTGGTCTCAGGCGTCAACATGGCTCAGCATGGCACTGATACAAATTCTGTCTTTATTGGACACCGTGACATTTTGTCAACTATGGATTTTTTTTTTTTTTTGCATTTTGATTTTTAGAGTTACCGTATTAAAACTTGAGTAAATTTTTTGGCATCTGCATACATTTTGTTCTTGATTCAACCTCACCTTAGTCTCAGCTCTGTCAATAACATCTCAGCACCTTGTCCTGTATAGTACTAATTTCTTTACACCTCTGTTTTGTGAAGTTTGTGGGAACACAGCCCGTGTTGATTCATTCTAAGCCAACATCAGAAAATTGCACAGAATAAGTAGTTCAACAATTGGGAGTTGGGTAGGGGAAAAGCGCGCAAAAGATACTAATTTAATAGCTCAAGCACAGGCCTTCCTACACCGCGCCATCCCAGTCCTCACAACCTGCCGCCCCGACCAGCAGCAGAACCCACCTGCTGCGTCCTCGCAGAGGACCGGCCCCTCCATCAGAAGCCCGCAGGAGCCCAACGACGGCCGGCAGTCTGGGTACGTGAGTTAAACCCCAAGAGCGGAAACCGGAAGTCTCTGCGTATGACGTCACGGTGAGGCCCCGGTCCGCGAAGCCCAGAGCGCCACAATGCGACCGATAAGGTGCTCTCCGCATGCAGGCGCGAGATGGCTAAAGCAGTCTGGGACAAACGTTCCGGAAAGGCGCTGTCTCACTGAGGAAGCTGGGCCAGTCAGACCGCCCTCTCTTTTCCCGCCCACTTGGATGGCGGACACTTCCGTTTGCAGGACAGCCTGGCCCCGACTTCCCAGCATGCCCCACGCGGTCTCCTTGGCGACCGAACCAAACAGTGGTGACTGCGGGGTCCGGAGCTCAGTGCTTGCGGGTGCCTCTAGTTTGAGGCCTGCCCAGTTACGGGCAGGAGTCGGGTAGGGCCCGGGCGGCGCCGCTTCTCCGCCCGCGACCCAGAAAGGTAATGCGAACAGCGCTTCTCCGGCGTCCGAGCTCCCCCCTCGGGAAAGGGCCCGGCCTCGAGCTGCCCGACCCGGATTCCGCATCTCCAGGCCTCCTGGACGGCCTGTCCCTGGAGATTAAGTGCCCGGGGGCCCCTCAATATAAGACATCCCGCTTTGCGAAAATGTCACTCTTTGTTGAAGTGGCAAGGAAGTTGTTCATTTTACCTTAAGGCTAAGGATTATCTTTAAGGTTAGATTCCTAAAGTGTCAAGGCGGCTTCCTGTGGTTTATTCCCAGGGAAGAGAACAACTGAGTTTCAGGGTATGGTAAACACTCAATCCCCTTTTCCTTTGTCTTTTGCCCCATAGAGATTAGTTGCACTTAGCAGGGAGAGTTTGCATAACCAGCTATTCTCTCCTCTTTTCCCTTCCTTCCCTCCATCCCTTCCCTTTTTTTCTGCAGTACTGGGGTTTGAACTCCGGGCCTCAAAACTTGCTAAGCATGCGCTTTACCACTTGAGCCATAGCCACAGAACTTTTTGCTTTATTTTTTCAGGTAATGCCTGTAGCTTTTTCCCCTGGCTGGTCTGTGGCAGCGATCCTCCAACTTCTGCCTCCCATGTTGGTAGAATTACAGGAGTGCACCAATGTGTCCAGCCCAGCTGGCTTTCTTAGCTCTTTTATCCCTTGGGCGGTAATTGGTCTTCTGGTCACTTATTTGCCCTGACACCCAGCATGTGTCAGGTGTTATGCTAGGCACTGGAGGTATAAAGAGGCGTTCCTGACACTCAAGTTCATTCACCACCTAGAGGGGTGAGTAGGTAGTTCTTGGACCTAGACAACTCAGTACGTTCATGGATAGTTTTTTCTATGAAAATTCATTTTTTTTCTTTTTTGGCAGTACTGGGGATTGAACTCAGGACCTGGCACTTTCTAGACAATTGCTCTTTCACTTGAGCCACTACGCCACTCTTCCTAGGCAGTTCTGTGATTGCCCAGAGGAGACTAATGGGATGCGGGTGAAGAGGTTGAAGGTGAGATTGGGCCGAGGTAACTTAATCCCAGAGTGTTCTGCAGCCTGTGCTAGCCTGCTTAAATACTGCTGCATTTAAAAATCTCCCTTACAAATAGGAGCTGCTGGGTCTGGACTTTTCATAGCTACTCTATCCATCTCTAATTTTGTTCTCCACTAAATGGTGAGTGATTTGAAGGGCCCTCTTCAATTGAAGAGGCTGTGAGTCTCTTGTTTTTCTAAACAATTTGGCTAGACAGCATTACTTTTATGCCAGAGAAGGAAGAAGATAAGGTACATTTTGCAGTATATTTAGAACTACTGTGGTTTGAACTTAGGTCCTTGCACTTGCTAGGCAGGTGCTCCACTCTTGATCCATACCCCATCCCCTTTTTTGCTTTTTAGTTATTTTTAGATTTTTTTTTTATCCTATCCAGGGTTGGCCTTGCCTGGAAATTGATCCTCTTAACTTATGTCTTCCTCTTAGCTAGACCTGTGGTGTATTTTTTGTGGTGGGGTCTTGCTAACTTTTTTCGAGGTTGGCCTTGACCATGATACTCCCAATCTCTGCCTCCCTAATAGCTGGGATTGCAGGCATGAGCCACTGTGTCTGGCCTAGTTTTGAGAGTTTTATGGTTGATTGACCTGGTGCCTTTTGTGGGTCACTAACACTAAATAAGGTGCATTGGCCATTGTTATGAAGCTTTTTGTCTTATTGCTCTGGAGTTGTTGAATATGAAAACCTAACACTAAGGCAGAGAAGGACTTCAATTTAAAATCATATTTTCAACAAAATATGTTTAAACAAAAACTCTTCAATAAAACAGTGGAAATTTTTATGAAATACAGGTGATTTGCTATATATCTACTCATATGAAATAGTCCTGCTTTTCATAACTCTAACATACATTTCATAACTCTTTGAGGGAATTCCAGTTTTACCATAATACATTTATGTTCAGATAACATTAAAATACAACTTGAGCCAGGCACCAGTGGCTTATGCCTATAATCCTAGCTACTCAAGAGGCAGAAATCAGGAGAATCCTGTTCAAAGCCAGCTCAGGGAAATAGTTTGAGAAACCCTATCTTGAAAATACCCAACACAACATAGGGCTGGGAGAGTGGTTCAAGTAGTAGAGTGCTTCCTAGCTGGGAACTGCTGGGTCTGGACTTCTCATAGCTACTCCATCCATCTCTAATTTTGTCCCCCACTAAAGGGGGAGTGATGTAAAGAGCCTTCTTCAATTGAAGAGGCTGTGAGTCCCTTGTTTTTCTAAACAATTCAGAGAGCATTACTTTTATGCCAGAGAAGGAAGAAGATAAGGTACATTTTGCAGAATATTTAGAACTACTGGGGTTTGAACTTAGGGCCTTGCACTTGCTAGGCAGGTGCTCCACTCTTGAGCCATGCCCCAGCCTGAGAGCCCCTGAGTTCAAACTCCAGTACTGTCAGGAAAAAAAATACAACTTGAGGTTTGAATTGCATTGTGTTCTTTCTCACCAAGGGAGATTATACTATACTTTGTGTGTATAATAGAAACTTCAAAACTAGGATGTATGCCTCCTCAACATCTGTTGTAATAAAGCTGATTTAAATCTACCGGGAAAAAAATCTAAAAAAAACCTCAGTGTCCTCATAATTTTTGGGTTAATCCCAACTCCCTCTTTGTAAGTCAAAATAGACATAAAGTGGGAAGACACCAATACAAAACTGTTGATGCAAGTGTAGATTTAAGGAAGCAGTCATATTCTTGTGTTTGGAAGTTTGTTAGGAAGTGATAATGTTGTCTTTGGAAGTTTGTTTTTGTAAGTTGATTGGGAGAGTAATTCTTAAATGGTTATTGATTACAAAACAAGTTTGTGGAAATTTGGCTGTAGTTCAGTTTTGACAAATTTGGATGTACAGCGGAAGGCTCTCTCCCTATGAAAGGTTGCCTTCTGGAATTTGCCCTGTCTCCACCTTTTTTTCCTTCCCAAGTCATTAAGGTAACCAACATGGTATCACAACATGCAGGTATCATCTCCAAAACCTTTCACTCTTAGGAGTCTTGCAAGAGCATCCTTTAGACCTGATTTGTGGGCTTTTCATATTTCAGGCATTGACCAACACTTCTCAGATGAATTTGACCATTGAATAGAAGACTTGAATGTTGAATTTCTATCTTGTTTGGAGCAATGCTGAAATTCCAGGAGGCTGCCAAGTGTGCAGGTGGACCCACACCCATTTCCATTCCTCCAAAGTCCTTGATTGCAAGAAGATACATGCTTCAAGAGAAACTTGGCAGTGGAAGTTTTGGAACTGTCTATCTGGTTTCAGACAAGAAAGCCAAACAAGGAGAAGAATTGTAAGTTAAAATACAAACCTTAAGTTGGCTGTCCTGTATGTGTACCTCCTAGCTGGTTAAGAACATGGAGTAATTGAGCAGAAAGCTACTAAAGATAGAAAGTTCCTTCACTGATCACTTCAGATAAGTTTTTTTGGGGTTAATAGGGATTAAACCCAGGGTCTCATGCATGCCAGACATGTATTTCAGCTATGAATAAAGTATTCAAATCACCTAGAAATGGCAAGTTGGGGTAGATTATGTGAAAATAAAATTTTTATGTATACCACAGTCTCAATTACAACATTGCTTCCACTTACCTTGATTGGAATTTCCTGAGCGAGCAAAGAAGAATTGCTCATAATGACCATATCTTAAGAAATGGAATGAAATGAAAATAAACATTAACTCACATTGGCAGTAAATGGTGTATACTGAAGGAAATAAGTTGTGAATGTTCTCTGGCTTTTCTGTGGAAGCGATTTTCAAAATCAAACGGAGGCTGCCATTTGAAGTTAGCTTTATGTTAATGACTCCTTTGTCACCTTTTCTTTAATTTCGGTCAGACCCTATAAACTCAAATACCAAAAATTCTTTTGGGATAGTATGTCTCTTACAGATAAAGATAAAGTTTCATTTTTAGCTTAAAGTTTTTAAAATTTATTGCAGAAATTAGTTGTAAATGAAGGTAGGGAAAGAAACTTGGATATCAGAAACATGGGAATAAAAAGTAAAAGGAAGAGCGATCCATGATGTCAGTCCTTAGCCTCTAGAAGGCCAGACTTCCATCTCACAATCTGTTCTTTTATTCAGAAGTTTTTAGCTATTCTGAAGTTCTTCCAGCCTTTTCTCTCTGGATCTTTAAGTGTGGATTTAAAATCAGAGTGATAGGACTGGAAGTGTGGCTCAAGCTGTAGAGCGCTTGCTTTGCAAGTGTGAAGCCCTGAGTTCAGACCCTAGTCCCCCCAAACAAGCATACAAAAATCAGTGTGATAAACACTTTTCTACTAGTTTATGTCCTAAGAATTACAAAGGTGTTACTGATGCTGTTACTTTATTTTTAAGAGCAACCTTTTAAGTGTAATTATCCCTTAGTGTGAATCCCAGTTACTCTGAAGGTGGAGATGAGGAGGATCATAGTACTAGGCCACCCAAAAAGTTAGAACCCATCCCAATCAACAAGCTGAATGTGGTTACTCACAGCTGTAATCCCAGCTGCATGGGTGGTATAAGCAGGAGGATTACAGTCTAGGCTGGTCTACCTGAAAAATAACTAAAGCAAAAAAATGGGCTGAAGGTGTGGCTTAAGTGATAAAGTGTCTTGTCTAGCAAGCATGAAGCATGAAGTTCAAACACCTGCACTGCCAAAAAAAAAAAAAGTGATTGTCTAGAATTCAGTTTTCAATCAATTCCAACATGAAGAGGAGAGCTGGCATTTTTCTGATGTTCTTAGAACATGCATTATATACTTACTAAAAAGGATTCCCCCCCTGCCCCACTTCAATTCTACAGGTACTCTTCTAGCCAGGTAGAATGTTATGATAGATTTCTGACAATTGCTAGAGAACATTTAGGACACATGGACTGCATCCAGATGACCTAGAAAAGGCACATGGGAAAGATCTATTTGAGCACAAGACCTAACTATAACCCAGGACTTGTAAAAAACACACAGTATGACTGGGTCTAATTTGGATTTCTTCAACTAACAAGGAATATGAAGAATTTTAAGAGAATTCACAGGGAGTTAAAATATTGATTCAAAGGATGAAAAAGAAGATGTATGAAAACCAAACTTGAAAGCTTCAGACTTGAGAGGGGTGTGTGTACTTGTTTGTAGACAGGGAGGGAGTGAGGGAGAGAGAGAGGAGGAGAGGAGGATCTGGGGCTGGTTGGTTGGTGAGTGATTTGTAAGTGATCTTTCTTATACCTGAACTCATTTTTTTTTATGATACTGGGGGTTTTGAACTCAGGGCCTCATGCTTACAAGGCAGGTGCTCTATCATTGTGCCACACCTTCAACCCTGAACTAATCTTCAAACACATGACTTGAACTGAAGATAGCAGACAAATCCTAGTTTTGTGGAATGAATGCAATGGTGAGGATAATGATCAAAGAACATAGGACCCAAATATTTAGAATATCTGAGCAGGGACTCATTTGTCATTAGAGTCTCTAAAACATTACACACTGGCCACATTCCAGCCCTTGGATGGGCTTTGTTTGGCCTGAATAGTGTTTCTTTTTAAATCAAAAGTAGTTGCCAGTACTTTTAAATGGGCAGCTCTCAAAAGTATTGAGCGTTTCATCTTTTCTAGAAAAAGAATATAAATATTTGGTACTATTGTATAACATAGATACAGCAAGCTGGAGCTGGTAGCAACTACTCTTGTTAGACAAACCCTGCATTCTCTAAAAAGCCACATTCCCGCCTCACTTCATGTCCCTTATGCCTAATTGCATCACACTTTTCTGCTATCTCCTGACCTTTGTAGATGTTTGCATTTGGAAATTTTTGCTAAACTCAGGAAGAAAATGGAAATTACTGCTCACAAAATCCTAGAGCAATAGGAGGAGGCTGGTATGGAGTCTCCTTCGAGACCATGCCTTTGGAGGTAAACAAGTGAGGGCAAAGCCAGGCCTGCAGTTCACTGAGTTTAGGGTTATGTAGGTGAGTATGAGCTTTAGTTTTCTCCTCTGTAAAGTGGGTATAATGTCCCATAGGATTGTAATAAGGATTATATAAATACCTACCTATTTGTATAAGACGAGATATCCCGTTGTCCTGTTCATAATTATCAACTCAATAATGGGTGAGATTCATCTTAATAGAAATAATCCAAGTCAGTGGAATAAAGGAAGTCTATAGCCAGGTGTTGTGGGGTACATCTGTAATCTCAGCACTTGGGAGGCTGAGGCAGGAGAATTGTGAGTTCAAGACCAGTGTGAGCTACATAGCTAATTGGAGGCCAGCCTGGGTCACATAGGAGACCCTGTCTCCAAAAAGAAAAAAGAGAAGACAGAAAAGAGAAACCTAATAAAACTTTAGCATCTGACCACCAATGACTGTAGTTGGAACCCTCTGATAAACGGAAGCTTATCTTTTGCATTCTGCTTTTAAGAGAGAAAAAAAATCTCTTAAATAAAGCAATCTGACACCAGGTATGTGATTTATAAAACTTCTTCAAGGATCTTTCTTGAGACTGTAACAAATCTTTTATCATCTCTCTCTCTCTTTTTTTTTTTTTTTTGTGGTGGCGATGGTACTGGAGTTTAACTCAGGTCCTTACATGGCTAGGCAAGCACTCTACCACTTGAGCCACTTGACCAGTCCATCATCTCTTCTTGTACATCTCTATGGCTGACTGTAAGAAATTGACATCCGGAATGTAGGCCTTTTAGATGATGTGTAGGCTGTCAACTCATTGGCACTTATTAGTTTAATACATGTATGGAGGCAGGAAACTAAATTCATAATACTTTTGAGATTCCTGCCCATCCCCGCCCCCAGAGTGTTGGTGATTGAACCTTTAGTTGTGAGCAAACCATCCTCATTGTCCAAGAAATAAGTTTAGGTAAAATTTTAAACTCTGCTTTATATACTAGATCACAAAATGTAAGCAAATTAGTTAATGTTAGAGGTGGGCAAAAGAAGAATAACTACTAAACATATTTCTATAATGTTATGAATGTTTTGATAAATGAGAGTAGATCTGACTCTTCATTGTTTTGGAGACATAGCCCATACTTTCACATGTCAGACCATTCCTTACAGGTAATGTTAAATGTTCTGGCAGTGACTTGACACTATGAATCTGAGCTTGGATGTAGGACACTTATGTAGCTCCTATGATATATAGATTCGTACAATATACACTTCTAGATTTAATCAAAGGCCTTGACAAAATGGAACAGCAGTGAATGCATATGTGGTGTTTCTGACTTCCCATCAGAATATTGCAGCTTATCATTTCGCCACTTGGGGGCACCACTCTATCACTGACATTTTGTGTATACTGTGAACTTTAATTATAATGTAAATACCACATTCCTGTATATTTTTATTGACTTCCAGATTAGCCATGGGATAAAAATAAAACATACAGGCATTACACTTGATTAGTGCATATTTGGAGAGAATTTTTCTTTTGGCACAAATATCTGGCATTCCATTTTTAGTTATCTCAGTAGGATTAAATTCAACAGTTACATTGAACAGTGAATGAGTTAGAATTTTTTACCTTATTATAAAACTTAGAAGCCAACTTTTGGGAATATTTTTCTTTCATAATTATACTCTGGTCTAATGGATGTACTTATGTTGTCATACACCTAAAGATTGTTCAAATTCATAATTTCATATTTTCATTAAGATAGCAGTGTTTTCTCTTTTTAACAAATTCCAAAGGTTTTTAAATTAGCACATTAAAATGTATATAGGTATGGAGTGCCATGTGGTTCTTCAGTGCATGTACACGTTGTGTAATGTTCCAATGAGTACAAGCATATCTATTTTTAAAAACATTTCTTTGTAGGGAAAACATTAGAAATCATTTTTAGCTTTGTAAAAATGCGCACTACATTGGCATTATGTATTGTCATCCCATTAAGAAATAGAACACCAGAACGTGTTTCTCCTACTAAAACTGCAAGTTAGTTCCCTTTCCAACCATTCCGGATACTTTCCCCAGCCTCTCATGACCACTCTTCTCCTTTCTTCTCTACTTCCATGAGATCAAGTAGAGAAGCTGGTACTCGTGTTTCTGTGTCTAGCTTACTTCATTTAACATAATGTCTTCAGTTCCATCCATGTTGTTCCATTTCATTCTTGGCATCACAGAGTGGTTCCATTGTGTGTATGTCCCACGTTTTCTTTATCCAGCATCAGGTGATGGAACTCAGGTTAAGTACACTTCTTGGCTCTTGTGAATAGTGCTGCAAGGTACCTCTCTGACATACTGTGGTCCCAGTCGTTGGGGCTACAGGACTGTATGGTAGTTCAATTTTTAGTTTTCTGAGG